GAGTCAACTCAGTGGCAGTGGGTTGGTTTGGTTTAACCTTTACAGAAGCAGATCTCCACCCCCTGTTGTATTTCTGATATTGGTCCTCCCCTTTGCTCACTCTCTACACTGGCCTCTCAGCATCTTTGCCACTTGGTTTGGAAGGCTCCTCCTACACGCACCCGTGTGACTGTGTTCTCTCTTCTCCTTCAGCTCTTTGCTCAGCTCAACCTACCTGGGCCATCTGCTTAAATTGTCAACCCTTCCCCCTTTCCCCAACCCCAGAACTTTCTAGCCCTCTTCCCTACTTCATTTTTCTTCTGCACTCACCTCTGACATATATTATACTTACTGTTTGCTTCTTTCCTCCCCCATTACAGTGCGTGCTTCATGAATGCAGGGGCTTGGGGCCTGCTCTTTTTACCACTGTATCTCTAGGGGTCAGCACAGGTCTTGACACACAGCAGAAACTCAGTAGTATCTATTGAACAAATTTTACTCTTGAGAAATTTTTTGGCTTCCTTGCTGTTATCATATTATGCGTTCTGCTCCCTGTAACTGTTACCTGTTATATCTATAATTACATTAGGTTGTTGGAATGGGTCTCCCCCCCCCCAGTTCACTACTTAAAATAGTAATTGGTGCAGTGATACAGAGTGTTGTGGTTTCTAAGTTCCCTGTATTAATCCAGATTCTATTTCCTACAGGCATTTGACAACTGAAAGAGTTCATCATTGTCTACTTCTTATAGGTTATTCAAATTCTATGCCACCCCCTCTGACTTAATAAAGAGGTTCCTTTAAGGTTACTGTAATTGACTCAAATTACCATAGTGTACTTTTGAAAAATGACACATTGGCCAGCTACTGCTATGTAGCCGAACACTTTACAAACAGCAAGTGTGCCTTGCAGATGTACTTATAGAGTGATTTTAATTAGCTCTGGTGATATAGTAGTTAAAGCATTTGGCTGCTAACCAAAAGGTCAGTGGTTCAACCCTACCAGCTGCTCCATGGGAGAAAGGTAAAGCAGTCTGTTTCTGTAAAGATTTACACCCTTGGAACCTTATGGGGCAGTTTCACTCTGCCCAAAAGGGTCACTGCGAGTCAGAATCAACTCGATGGCAGTGGGTGGGATGGGTCTGTGCCAGGGATGTATTGGGTATTTTCACAAAATGAATGGACACTTTCTGATTTTCCATATTACCAGTTTGGAACTTTTTCATATGAGGTGCTCTGACGGCAGAAATGTGGGCCTGACATAGTACGGAGGTTTGTGCAAACTCTTTGGGAGCAACGGTGCTGAAATGGAGATCTGAGGCCTCTCACATCCCAGTTCAGGTGCTGAAACTTCCTTTCAGGTGTGCTAACTGATGATGTTTCTGTCTCTTTTGCCCTGTCTCAGGCTCTACAAGATGAACTGAACACTCGTACGAATCAGTTGCGAAGTGCCGAGAAAAAGTTACAGCACAGAGAACTGGAGTCCCAAGAGCAGGTACTGTCTCCTTTTCTGTTCCATATGTTTGCTCACTGACTTTCTCCAGGTCAAGGAACTTATGCACAACCTGCTTCAGTTAGGATGCCTTGGCTGTGAATAATAGAAAACTGTGCCTCTAGTCAGTGTAAGCCATGAGACACTAAAACCAAAAAAAAAAAAACCAAACTCACTGCCATGGGGTCAGATGTGACTCACAGCGACCCCTCCTTGGGTATCCCAGGCGGTATCACTACAGAAGTAGATTGCCCAGTCTTCCTTCCGAGGAGCAGCTGATGGGTTTGAACCACTAGCCTTCTGGTTAACAGTCAAATGCCTTAGGCACTACTCTACCAGAGCTCCCATGAGAGACTGACTATAGTACTTCAAAAAACAAGAAGTCCATGGCAAGGGGAAAAAAAGGGGGTGGGGGGACCAGGTTTGCTGGTCTGATAGAGCCTGGTGGAACCACTGAGAGTATGGCCCCTAACTGCCCTTCAGGTCTGGAATTGAACCCACACCTGTGGTTTCCAGCCAAACAAAAGACAGGCATATGAATTGAACACTTACCTGAAGTAGATACACTCCTTGGAGAGAACAATCATGGGAGAAAGAAGGGCTGCTTATGTACAGGGAGCCAGCTCAGGGGGCAGGAGTGCATGGAAGGATGGACACAGGGAAGAGGTAACTATCGGGAGGAAGTGGGAGGGGAGCTGTTAAATCGGGGTAAATTGTAGTCAATGTCATGAGACAAAGTGTATTTGAACTGCTGTATGGAAAGTGAATTTGCTCTGTAAATTTTTACCCAAATCACAATTAAATATAAACCAAGAAGTCCATAGGAGGGCTGGCTCAGGGAAAGGCCTTGGGGCTCAGGCTCTGCTTCTCCAACATGCCCGGGGCTCAGCTGCTACGGTGGCTTCCTTCTGAAGGTGAGTCCAAGATGGCTGCAGCAGTTTCAGGCATCCCGTCCAGCCTGGCAGTATCCAGGCATAGAAAGACACTCTGTTTCTGGGGTCTCCTTCTGAAGAATAAGGAACTTTTCCCAGAAGCGCCCCCTGCCCATCCTCCCTTCACATCTCAGTGACCAGAGAGGTCACATCACAGCCCTGGCATGTCCAGCCCTGCCAAGACCTTGGAGTATCTAACTTGTCCTAGACCATTCAGGTTCTACAGGGTGGTGATGGAGCTAGGCGAGGAAGGATAGCCTGGTCAAAGAAGAGGGGAAGTGATTGTTGGATATGTAGCCAACAGTGACTGCTATGTCATGCTTTTAAAATAAATGGACATTATTGTCCTTAGAGACATAAATCATGGATTCTTTTGAATTGTGATGTTCTCCCCTTTTTATCCATTATATTAATGAAATTAACAAACCAGAGGTGTTTGGCTATGACAATAACTAATGACCTATTTTATTTTCAAATGACATGATTATTTTCATCCAGTTTTTTTGGTTATGAATTATTCTTGGTGGTAGTTTTAACAATTTAAATTAAAAAGTCAATTATCAATAAAGATCATGAGTCTTAATGACACTTTTCATGAATACATTGTCCATGGCCTTTGGGGATAGCATTGCTAATGTCCTTCTAAGGAAGCCACTAAGCCAATGTATACAGAACCCACCCTAGGTATGACAGACTTTTATACTTGGAATATCTCATAGTAAAACTCAGTATAGGAATATTAATTAGTTCATTTTGACTTCGTAGAGAGAGTAAACACAGAAGTAAGGCTAGTAGACAAAAGTAAGGCTGTTTGTAAATCATCTATGGGATGGTTTACAAACAGTATCTTGAGACATGGGATTATAAAAGATGGCAAAAGTAAGCACCAAATGCTTGTTGAGTATTAATATTTACTGAATAGAATTCACTTCCTATAATTCCTTCCTACTATCCTATAGCCTATATGATATGTATATGTCATAGTAGACATATACATGTATATGATATATGACAGGCATAAATACATCTATCTGCATATGTGTACATACATACCATAAAGGGTCTATGCCACACAGACAGTAACACTAGAGTGAAATACCAGAATAAGAAAATTAACAATGCCTTCAGTTTTTCAAGTGCCTATGATGATAGACACTATACAAGAAATGTCACTTGTATTAGTTGATTTAATCCTCACAATAACCATATAGGCTCAGTATTATCATCCCCATTTTAAATTGCACACTGACACCCAGAGAGATTGAGAAATGTACCCAAGAGCACATAGCTAGTAAATGGTAGTTAGATAAGACAGATAGCTGCCACTGGGCTGACTGCCTCCTGGTTACCTTACGTGCAGCAGAACGAAATGTTGCCAGTCCTGTGTCTCTCACCCTTGCCAGCCCTCTGCTTCACCAGACATCCCATCTCTCTCCCACGATTCAGCCCTCCTGATGACATAGCCAAGGCCAGCAAGTCAAGCAGTGTTCTGCTGTGATCTGTAAGACTCTTCCTGGCTAATTTTCAGAAGTTGCTCACCAAGCCTTTCTTCTGAGTCTGTCTTAGTCTAGAACCTCCACTGAACCCTGTCCACCAGGGGTGCATGGTTGGTATTTAAAATACCGATGACCTAGCTTCCAGCATCACAACGTGCAGGCCACCCTAGACTGACAGACAGCGATGGAGTGTGGAGTATAGAGGCCTTCAAACCAGGTTTATCTGAATTCCAAACCTTGGCTCTGTCATGATCGTTTTTAAATTAGTTAAAAAGAGAACTCCATAGCAGTGATAGGAGAAAAAAGTCTTCATTTCGATTATAAGCAGATTGGATTGAGTTGAAACAAACTTGGTAAGGGTGGCAGGAAAAGGAACACACTGTTCCAGATGCCTGGTACTACAGCAAAATACCATTTCAGGCCTCCATTTCCGTGGGCAGAAAAACACAAAGAGCAAGGGAACCAACAGCATGACATTTAGCCCCAGAAAATGCCGCCTTAGATTCAAGGGTGGTCCCAGGTCTAATCAGCGAAGGTCTCATTGTCACTGGAGGTCAGCTGAGCTCCATCCTCCCTCTAGGACTTCTGTGACTTCAAGGAGGAGAACAGTCAGCCTTCTTAAAAGCAGGAAACAGTGCTCCCAGGAGATCGGGGCTTCTCTAGTGTGTGATAAAATATGACTTTAGGTAAAACTTTGTTGACATCATTCTGATTCATGGCAAAACTTCACACGGAAAATTCCATGATATATTGAGAGTAGGGAAATGAAGAAATCCCAAATGAACAAGAGGGGAGGATTCAGGAACTACTCTCTGTCGTTTTTTATTGACTTGTTTTTGATCATCAAAGTTGCTTTCATCTTTGTAGTGACAATAGCTTTTTAGAATATGCCTTACACTGATTCCTGATATCTTCTCTTGGGCTACAGTTTACCAAAGAAATGTCAGGAAATACCCATGGGTAAAGCTGAATTATGTCATCATCTTTCCAACCATGAGGTGTTGGGTTCTTTCTGCAAGGTCCTAGGGTGTAACCAGAAAAAAATGCC